GACTATATGAGTTTCCCATTTCATTTGTATACTCAATCCACCTCCTTCTGTACTATTTATGTACTATAAATATACCATATTGGACAGCCAAATGGTGGGAATCAGGTAAGAATTTATTCAAACCTAAAACTAATTCTCTTGCAGAATTTCTTCATAATTGCAGTAGAAAAACAAGTGAAATCATAAGGCTCTTTTTTTAGATGCTTTGTTGGTGTTACAACTGACTGTTCTTCAACACAGCCTAACATTAACAGGCAATTAATTAACATGGATATGATGATAAAGTCATTCCATGCAAAATGAAATATGGTAGTCTTATTCAAATTATGAAGAGCTGTGTGTGGAGGACGCAAGGGAGTATAATGTTAGTGCCTCTTTTAAAGAAATTCAACCTTGCTGCCTCTTCACTCCTTAACTTTGAATTACCTGGTGCAGGCAACTGAAATTCTCATTCATCTGCTATTGTCACTTACTCTAATAACAGCACTAATAAGTGCTTCACAAATCCCAGAACAATTTCTTGTGTGCTTCACTTTTAGGCCTAATAGTGGATGTTTGCAGGTGTTGTGTGGTCTAATCCAGAGCAGAGTGTACGATGAAACTCTCTGGATGGCAAATATGTTCTTGTTTGAGGGTACATATTTGCAGCACTCACTACTTAACTTACTGGTTGGCTGCTATGTGGTTGACGTTATAACTGTGCTGCATGCTGCCCCTGTGCAGTGCCAGGGGAAATGAAAACCTGGGCAAGAGCAGCCACAGAGAATAGAGCTGTTTGTTGCTGGGCTCTCCTCACTTAACTCAAAGGCTTGGGTCAAAGTGTGGTATCTTGCGTACAAATACATATGTCCCTTGAATCCATGGTGAAAAATGCTGCTCCGAGTTGACTTTGCTCAGCCAGTGTCTCGTGTATTCTAAAATGTATCTGAGAAAGTCAAGTCCAGCCAGTACCTGGTACAGAAGGAAATGTTCCACAGTCTCTATTTGGCAGGAATAAGGCAAATATTAAAATATCAACAAGGGATGTGCCAGTAAAGCAAATCCATCAGCGGTTGTCTTGGATAAATGGCAATTAGAAAAGTGAGCGGGAGTAAGTAACAGCATAGTGAGGATGTTATCAGGATAGACTGATGTTGCATTTTTCTAAGCGAAAAATTACACTTGCAGCCAAGCTAACACCAGCTCAGAACATGGTGTTGTATGAATATATGTATGAGATTGCTGGGGTTTCGTTGAACTTATTTTTAGGGATGAGGGGTTTTTGTTGTTGTTTATTTACTTCTAGTTTGGTATTTTCTCATTTGTTATTCTCTGCTTGTCAGAGTGAAGAGCTCTGCTATATCAATTTTATAAACATTACCTTATAAATTTAAAGACTTTGAACTATCAGTATTTTGTTTCTGCCGGAGCTGTGTCTAATCCAGACACATACAAATTCAGAAGCCTAACAGACTTTTTTCACTGTGCAGTCTTAACAGGGTGAAAATATATTGGTGTGTGCCAGCTTTTCTTATTCAAAACAAACCACTGTGCTTTTCTTTCATTATTACCATGGTGTTTCCACAGTGGTATTTACTCACTTCAGGAGTTCAGCCATCCTTCTCCATGGCACTCTGACACAAGCAATTTGAATTTCAGAGACTGGCATTCAGCCCCAACTGAGCCTACAGCTGGTGCCACAGAATCATCAGTGATGACACGCTTTGCCTTTGATTTCTGTAGTCGATGAAGAACTTCCTTCATCTGGAATTGGGCCTCTCTGCTACTTCTGCAAATTAAATCAACATTGCAAAAGCATAGGCCCATACAGTGTGACCTTTAGAAAGTATCTCACCTGCCTGATACGTGAAGTGATTTGAAACATATGCATGCAATGTGCTTTAAAGGGGGCTAATGCATTTAGCAGTAGCAATAAAGTCACCTCCTGAGCGAAAAATTCACTGGGGCAGCAAGAATATGTTACCTTATTATGTATTTGAAGGTACAGTAACACCAAGGTTCATTTTCAGAGGAGCAGATTTTAACAGTACACTTCAGAAGGTAAAGAATCTTCTCCAGAAGTTGTTTCTTGTTCTATCTACAGCCTGCCAAAACCAGTTTTTCCTGTAAAAGGAACAATTGTGTCAGGTAAGTGATACCTCTGCTCTGTCCTTGCTGCCAGGATAGTCATAACTGTGTTTAGCTCCTCATCATGAACAGCTTGAGACTACAAAAACAGTCCTACATCTATAGAGACAAGACCTATGTAGTAAGAAAGGTGATTGATAGGTTTCTGTGGAGCTCAGAGTGAAGGTAGAACATGAGTCCCAAATCTTTTCCTGTTTCCTTTTCCGTCTCTCTTCCCACCCACCAGCCCATGGAGGAACAGAGCCATAACACCTTGCTTCAGCCAGATTACATCTGCTGCACTCTGGCTGAGGCAACCCAGGAGCAACAGCCTTGTGACTGGTTTTGTGACTACACAGCTCAGGTGGTAGCTTGAGGCTCTGCACACACCACAGCAGTTCAGCCATGACAACAGTGTATCAATTCCTGGGATGCTGCAGCTGGCGCCAGGACTAGCTTTAATAGCTGGTAAATAGTGAGGTTTTGTAAGGGCTCTACCTCATGTTCAGAGAGCACATGTGGTGCTCCAGCACTGCTGCCTCCTCTGCTCTGCTCCCATGAGAGAGGTAGGAGGGAACATGTGCCATCCTCTTGGCCATTAAGGCCACAGCCCAGCATCACTGTGGGCGCAAGTGTGGCATTGATGTGTGCCTGTATCTTCAGCCTCTCCTGAGAGGATTTCACTCACTAGGGAGCTAGTGACAGCTGTAGCTTAAACTGGGGCATCATCATAAGAGTTTGGCTACCAGAGTCCTAAATATCTCCCACTGTATCTCCATCCTCAAATCATGATTCTAACATCAGCAGAGATCTTGCTAACATCCATTTACATTTTGGGAGCAGAATAGTCCTCTGGGTGCTGATCAGTGAGGGTCTGACTGGCAGTCCTTCCTGGTACATAAGCCCTGTAATTTGCCAGAACTCCCTCCTGGGGTTCTGTCCATGTCTGTAAACAACACGCTCCAAGGACATATTAACCACTTTCCTGCAACATTCACTGCAGCAGAAAGAAACTGACTCAAAACAGCTCCTCAAACAACAAACTTGCTCTCACAATCAGTCTGCACTAGTGATATTTTAAACAGCTTTTTGAAATGCATGCAATGGAAGTCTCCCAGAGGAATGGCAGAGGAACAGCCTTAAAGGGATTCCCTACCCAGATCACATCACTCCAGAGGAGGCATGAACATTAAGAGAAAATGACAGCAATGGCTTGTGATAAGAGTCAGGAAATGTGCCAGTAACACGCAGGCAAAAAGGTTCCCACTTCAGGAAGAAACCCGTAACTTCCACAGTGACCTAACCTGTAACCTATTCTTTTGGTAGGACATATAACTGATTTGCAGAGTACCAATGGGTATTTCCAAGTCCTCCAGCACTTTTAAACACTGAAGTATCCTAGTTACGTTCTGTATGGTTAATTGCATTTTCTCTGCACCTCTCATAGCTGCCTGTAGAACTTCTCCACTTTTCAAACATGTCCTGACATGCCCAACTCCAGAGACTATCACTGTACTTCACCACAACTTTGAGTCTTTCACACAACCCCAGCCCTGCAGAGACTGAGTGACTTTTAATTTATGTGTGGTCAGTAATCCCACTGATGTCTAACAATTGCTGTAGAATTATATGAACCTCAAAGGCTTTGCAGGAACAAAGCTTCAGATAAGATATTAATGCCACCTCCTGTTGTGGTTGTAATTTGCATCAATTCATGAAGTTTCCTTTTTTCCTACTTCCATAAAATCAAAGAATGGTTTGTGTTGGAATAGACCTTGAGCTCATCCAGTCCTGCCATGGGCAGGGACACCTTCCACTAGACCAGGTTGCTCCAGGCTCCATCCAGCCTGGTCTTGAACACTGCCAGGGATGGGGCAGCCACAGCTTCTCTGGGCACAGCTTCCCTGTGCCAGGGCCTCACCACCCTCACAGTGAACTTAATGTTTTTTTTAACTTTCCCCTACACACACAGGACAGCATTTTAGCCCACCTGGATTCTCTGCAGGTCAATGATAGTCCTGCTCCTAGGGAGGCCTCCTTACCTGACTCCTCTACCTGTTTTCACAAAATGAGGAGGGCCTTAATTCTCCCCTATTAATTGTCCAAGAAACTCAAGAGTTACCACAGGCAGAGAAGGCTCTTATGGACAGGGAAGCACAGAGACACCTTCCTATAGGATCCATGCTGTGGCCCATGCTTTTTCTCTCAACAAATGTTCTCTAGTATCTCCCACCTAAATTTACCTGTATAATGAGTTTCTGTTTCAGCTGGTGCCTCTACACCATGACACTTCCAGGAGTTAGATATGAAGACACAGAAGCAGCTGTCCCGTCTCTTCCCCTGTTGGGGTGTATGGGTCAGTGTGCCATGCTCCAGTGCTGAGCTGGACTGAGGTCTCCTTGCTCCCCTGCACTTCAGTGACCATTCATCCACTCCTGCCCTGTCCCACTCATCATCTGCTCTGGAATCATTAACACAAACCCAGACTTTAACCCTGGAACTGAAGTTCGGCAGAAGAGAAGGCATGAAGGGCTACGAGTGACAGGCAGAGCCTGGCCACAGCCGAGTGCACCGAGTCCGGAGTACCTGCCTGGGGAGTGCTCAACCTCCCCTTGCACGTGTAATCCCTGAGGTGAGCCGTAGTTTTAGAGGGAGCGGGTTTGTTTCTTCTTTTTCCAAGCGCAATGCACTGCCCACAGCAACACCGGCTGGGAGAGCAGCCTGGCAGCGGCTTGAGGGGATCACTGGGGATTCCACCCGGGGCCGCGGCTCGGCTCCCCCACAGTTGCGACGGGAGGTGCCGCGCCCGCCTTCCTCAACGCTCCCCCGCAGGGCCGTAATGTGCCGCGGGACGGCGCTCTCCCCGGCGGGCTGGCGGCGCGGCGCGGCGCTGACGCCATCGCAGTGCGCGGCGACAGCAGCGAGTGGTGGTCAATGGCCGCAGCGGAGCCGGCGGCGAGGAAGCGGCGGCCCAAGGGGCACTTCGCGGCAGGGCGGGCCAAGAGGCCCCGCGGCGGCGGGAGGCAGCTGGAGGCCGGCATGCGCGGCATCCTCATCACCTGCAACATGAACGAGCGCAAGTGCGTGGGGGAGGCCTACAGCCTCCTCGGCGAGTACGGGGACCTGCTGTACGGGCCTGAACAGGTGCGTGCGGGCGGGACCGGCCGGGCCGTCGGGGCTGGGAGGGAGATGGCCCTGACACCGGGGAGTGCGGCATCGGCCGCTCCGCTGCTGCCCGCGGCCTGGCAGCGATGACCCTGCGGGGCGGGGAGGGCAGTGCCTGGAGCCTTCTCTGTGTAAACCCCCATGTTTGTGTTCACCGCACACGAAAACGCCGGTTTCTGGCATCAACCCCCAGTGCAGCCCCTCGGGTTGAGAGGATAAAAAGTCCTTGCTCATCACCTCCAGGCCCCAGGCCATGCTGGCGGCTTTTGTGTGCGCTGCTGCTCAGTACTCACCAAACGAGACGTGCGGTGTGTTGTGAAGTTTTCAGATCACGAGGAGCGGCTGTCTGGGAGTGAGAGGGAGGAGGATGAGGATGATGTTGAGGCAGCCCTGAAGAAGGAGGTCGGCCAGATCCGTGCCTCGACAGAGCAGAAACTGCGGCGGTTCCAGTCGGTGGAGAGTGGTGCTAATAACGTGGTCTTCATCAGAACCCAGGGCATTGGTAGGACATCAGCTGATCATATGTAATGCTGTGGGGCAAACTACACTGAACAGTGCTAGTAAAAAGCCACAGAGCATGACTTCCAAGAAACCAAACACAGGGTTTCCCTCTCCTTTTCGCATAGCCCCTGACTTTTGTCACTAGCAGAGTTGCTAAAGGTAGAGGAATCTACATTGACAAAATAATCCCTGATTATCCAGTTTTGGTATAGTAAAAAAACTACACAAAAGGGTTTGAGACTGACAGCAACGCAGCTTAGTGTTTCCCCAGTTTGTTACTTAGAGGGGTCAGGAAGGGAGAAAATGCCTTCAATTTGTTTCTCATACCTAGCTGTTTTTCTTGTAGAACCTGAGAACCTGGTGCACCATATATTAAAGGATATGCATGCCACTAAAAAGAAGAAAACAAGAGTCATCCTGAGGATGCTGCCCATTTCTGGGACTTGCAAGGCTTTTATGGAGGATATGAAAAAGTATACTGAAACATTTTTTGAGCCTTGGTTTAAAGCCCCTAATAAGGGTACTTTTCAGATTGTTTACAAAGCTCGTAATAACAGTCACATGAGTAGGGAAGAAGTAATTAAGGAATTAGCAGGTATGTATGGATTTCTCACAAAACTGAGAACAAGTACATAAGCAGTCCACAACTGCATGCATAACATAGGTCAGATTATTACAAGTGGTCTTAATGGGCACACACACTTGTTGCTTAAAATCTTTATGTTGAATTACAAAAGCTTCTCTAAGACTTTAAAAAAAAAAAACTTGACATCAGTATTCCTTGCTGGTGTTAATGTCTCAAGAGACAACAAGCAGAAACAAGTCCAGTGTTTGGAGTGTTAGTTACATGTGCTCGGAAATGAATGCTGTCAGGCTTTCTCTCTGAATGCTATGTTGAAATAATGTGTTACTATTTCCATTGAATATGTGACTCATAAAATAGCTCCACCTTACTCTAGTATTTTGTTTGTTGGTAATTGCAGTGGGACAGTTTTTCAATTATGCTGGTATATTCTAAGTCCTGCTCCATTCGGCTATTTTAAGCAATTACAAAAACAAGTAGTTGGTTACAATTAAGGGGCATGTTGCTTTCTCTCAGCTTTTCTCTTTTCATTAGGGTGTGTTTACTGAAACAGTTTTCCCAGCATCCTTTAAACTACATCTTGTTTTACAGGAATTGTGGGCAGCCTCAATCCAGAAAACAAAGTCGACCTTAATAACCCACAATATACAATTGTGGTGGAAATAATAAAAACCGTCTGTTGCTTGAGTGTGGTGAGAGACTATGTCCTGTTCAGAAAATACAATCTACAGGAGGTGGTGAAGAGCAACAAAGAAGACAAACAACAAAACCCATCAAGTCTGACAGAAGAACAGAACTCCAAGGTAGTAAAATCAGAAGCTGAGGGGGAGGAGAAAAGCTCAGAAGAAGTAAAACTAGAGAACAAGAATCAAGGTGAAACAGAAGCTGAGCCCAAGGGGAATGATACGCTGGCAGTGTAAAAAGAGTGACAGAAGGGAAAGATAAACACAATCCAAAATAAGAGTTGCCCTAGAGTTCTGAAAGGGTGTTTTTAAAGAGGAGAGTGGTTTTGTTTTGAAGTCTTGTTTTTAAAATCCACATGTGTAAGAATTCAATGCTTGTTGCAGGTGGAGCTGACATTACAACATATGCAAGAGTGCTCACCTTCCTGGTGAAGCTTGCTGTCATTCTTTTACAGCTTTGTTCTGCAATGCCTTTACGTAGTACAAAAAGCAGGAGTGTGTGCATGGCATATGTAAATGTGGCCATCCTGACATACATTGACTCTCCTTTGTTATATCTGATGGCTACAGAAGTGAAAAGGCAGTGCAGAGTCAGCTCTATCAGGAAGTATTGATGAAAGTGAGAGATCTGAAAAAGACAGTTGATTACAGAGTGGTTTTAAGGATGTGGTCTGACAACTTGTGTGACTGCAGAACTCATACAGTTTTCTGTGTGAACAACAGAATGAGCTAAATCTGATCATTTCTGGTATGATGGAGGGTTATATACATATATATGTATATATACAGACACATTGATCTACAAGGATATGCTAAGTCTTGAAAGTAAATGGGAAGAACTGCTATCATCAAAATACTTGAATATTATGAGACTATTTACAGTAATAGATTTGACTGTTCTAGGACAGTAGAAGTATAGTGCAGGCATTGCAGATGGTTTTAGCAAAAACTACATGTGTTTACATTAGCTGTGTATACAGCAGTTACTGGTTTGTAAGAAATGTTGTAGTCGCTGAACAGACTCCTGAGTAATTTCCTGCAGCAGCCTTTGCTGCTCTTTCCAAAGGCTTAATCCTTGGGGGTGTTTATGAAGTCTTTTTTTGTTTTGTTTTTATTTTTTATTTACGTCTCAAAACTCGAATTTAAATACTGCTTGGGAACTTCTTATGAAAGAAGCTTCCATTCGACTATACTGGATAAAGGGAATTAAGCTTATTTTTTGGTACAGTTTTAGCCTTACGGTATTAATTTTGTTTCAGATTGAAAGTAATGTTAGTGAGTCTGTCTGTTGCCTGTTTGTTACAGCAGCTCTTTTGATATCCCAGTGACTTAAAAAACAACCAAAGCCAGTGCATCTATAACTTGCTTTCCAATAGGGTTCTGAGTATGCTTCCTGTACAACTGTCTAGCTTCAGTATTTAATTTCTGGCATAAAAGCTTGTGGGTTGCCAGTGGGAAAAGACTCATCTTGAAGAACACGGCTTGTTACTTGTCTTGGTTTAATGAAAAGGATTTGTAAAAGTCTCTCAACAGTGTTGAATTTGTATTTTCCTCTTCTCAAAATTCTTTCAGAAGCTGGAAAATTAAGACAGCTCTTTTCCCCAGTCCTCTTTCCCTTACCACCCATTTATTAAAACTCTGCTTTCTTACCTCCATCAGTGTTTTCTTTAAATTTTAAAGCTGCTTTTATGTGAATTAAAACTAGCAATGTTTGGATAACACAGAGGAAGGAACCATTTGAGACCAGATATGAAGGTCAGCTGTGAATGTTTATTGGTGGCTCATATTGATGATCATGATTCAAGACAGCTGCTTACCTTACTTACTAAGGACAAGGATAGACTCGTGGATAGTTTGTAGATTTTTGATTGTTGGGTTTGGTTTTGTTTTTTTTTTTACCGTTCTCACTCATATATGTCTACAGGACCTACAGTTCTTCAGAAGACACTGCTGAATAGCTGCTGTCTGTTTGTCAAGGGCATGTCTGTCTGACATTTACATGCTGCAGTCTTAAAAGATGCTGTCCTTTTACTTTTTTTTATAACTTGCACTTGCTGAACATTCACTGTTAACACATTAATTCCTAAATTTATTTAGATTCATACAAGCAGGGTGTTTAATTTGGATGCGTGCAAGATCTGTGGCCATTTCTGGGAACTCATTGTATACTATCACAATTTCCTTGTTAGTAAGCCTCTTGTGAATTAAGTTATATGGTCTCAAAAGAATGAACACACTCCTTCATTTGGAATCACTTCTGCTTGTACTGTGATTCTGAAGTGCTAGGTGGCTGGAAGTTGTGTTTGCATCTGCCTTGCCAAAGTAGGCTTGATTTTGTTAAGAACACAAGCATTTAAAAAACATACAGTTGGGAGTTTTTAAACCTTGTGCATTCTTACACAGTCACTGCTCAGTGGGTGAAATATAATCCTGTGTTGGTGCTTACAGTTGTTAGAAGAGCTCCATTATGAATGAAATTGATAGGGCTAGGCCTTTTTAGATTGCTTATCAAAATTAAGTCTTTCTCCATTCCTTGTTCCTCAGTTCATTCCGCCTGATTTTCCCAGTAATTGTCTTTGGCAGCTGCTGGACAAATTCAATCTGATTCAACAGAGGAAGAAACTAAAATGAGTATATGCCATTTACATTTATTTTTTCAGAACAGCTCCATCCTACTTAAAGTCTTCATCCTACTTAATTGAAATAAGTATTAGGGGACTGTGGAAATAACTCCTAATTTCATTTTAGATTGTGTTGGATCTTTTCTTTTCCAAGAGGTTCTTTAAATAATAATGCTTGTTATTTTTCTTGCACAGCAAATGTGTGGGCTTTTTCTGTTACTGCATTTGAACTGAGTCTGTTTTTTCTGTTTGTAGCCTCCCCATGGTTCAAATAGTTCCCCTCAGTTTAAAAAGGACAGGGACCTGCTGGAGAGAGTCCAGCGCAGGGCAACTAAGATGATTAAGGGAGTGGAGCATCTCCCTTATGAGGAAAGACTGAGGGAGCTGGGTCTCTATAGTTTGGAGAAGAGGAGATTGAGGGGTGACCTTATTAGTGTATATAAATATATAAAGGGGGAGTGTCACGAGGATGGAGCCAGGCTCTTCTCAGTGGCAAACAATGAAAGGACAAGGGGTAATGGGTACAAATTGGAGCACAAGAGGTTCCACTTAAACCTGAGAAGAAACTTCTTCTCAGTGAGGGTGACAGAACACTGGAACAGGCTGCCCAGGGGGGTTGTGGAATCTCCTTCTTTGGAGACATTCAAAACCCGCCTGGACACGTTCCTGTGTAACCTTATCTAGGTGTTCCTGCTCCGGCAGGGGGATTGGACTAGATGATCTTTTGAGGTCCCTTCCAATCTCTAACATACTGTGAAATAGGTGTTTGGGATTTTATTCGTTTAATTTTTTTAATACACTTGTGTTTACTTGCCTTCCTGGGGTACTTGTATGGAGCAGTGACTTTCCTGACATAATCTTGCAATTCACGGGCCAGTTTCTTTGGATCATGTGACTTAAAGGAAGGAGATAAGACCACAAAAGCTTTTACCACCTACAAAGGGAAAAACGATAAAAATGCAGCATTAGTTAAACCAGAGCAACCTAAGAAATGAGGCAGTTAATTGAGAGTGAGTACTGCCTGCACTACAGGCTTATTCTGTCACACCTCTGCAGTACAGCAGATCTTGCTTTTGTGTAAGCAAATATAAAATTAGGACAAAAGACTGATTCTACCTTACATTAGTAAAGGTCCTAAGTGATACATGATACAAGTTTTAAACTCTGCTTGAAATACAGAGTTCTCTAAAGCACTGCTTAAAGCAGTTTTTAGATGCTACAGCCTTTTCTGTAAATGTATGTTGCTAAAGAATGTAGTTCCCCAGGCAGTGGGTCAAAGTGTACATCAGTTCTTACCAGAGTCACCTTTATACTCAGTGTCATATTCTTTAGGAAACCAAGTATTATATTTTAATTTTTAAGACAGAAAAAAAGGGGTACACACAGACTACTGCTCCCCTTGCTTTGGGTGAAGTGATGGAGAGAAGTTTGTGTAGCTGTATTAAAAATCTTACAAGTTCAGTGGAAGCTTGAGTGTGAGCTCTGTCACACAAGGCAGTTTATGAACAGGAGAGTGATCACTAATTACCTCCCCTCTGACGGGATCTGGGCTGCTAACCACAGCTGACTCAGCGACAGCTGGGTGCTCTATCAGGGCACTCTCTATTTCAAATGGTCCAATACGATACCTGGGAGAAAGAAACGAAATGCTTAGTAAGTAAAAGGTATATGCTTATTTTTTAGACATTTCTTGGCATTTTAACTGAAATCTACAAACCCAGAGGAGATGATGACATCATCAGATCTCCCCATAAACCATATGTATCCATCCTCATCCATGCTCCCTCTGTCTCCAGTGATGTAGAAGTTCCCACGGATTGTGGAAGCAGTTTTCACTGGATCATCCTGTTAAACAAGCAACATTTATTCTGAATATTGAGAAGCCTGAACCTTAGAGATGAGTTTTGCCTCTTTGGGCACTACCCAGATATTTTTCACTGCTTGTTTTTTGTCTCAAGTATGCAATAGTTTGTGCTTGCTTCTTCCAGAGGGCCAGATAGGGAACCTAAGGTCACGTAATAGGTCTGCAGAATACTGGTGTAGAGAATTGAAGTGTTGTAAGTCAAAACACTGAGGTCAAGATGAGCCAAAGTTCTTTGGTGCTGCACCTGCTCCTCTTGGTATAAATACATACCATGCTACAGGGCCTCAGCTGGCTCTCTGGAAATTCACTTTAGCCTTACCACATATCGAGTGAAAAAAGTAAATGGCCACTTGGCATCTACTTTGATAGCAATGTCTCCTTCTTTCCCAGGAGGCAGAACAGTGCCATTTTCATCTATAATCTGCAATAGAAAAGGCAAATGGGTGATTACAACTGGCTTAAGAAAGCCATGTTCTAAAACTAACCAATGGCCAACAGCTCAACCAAAAAAGTCAGCCTGCTGTGAATACCACTGTATGGTACTGAAACTTGTACAGTATCTTGCACTCTTATGTTCTACTTCCTATGAAATCAACAGTAAGCAGAAAATGGGACCACCTACCCGAATATCATAGGGGGGAGCTGCCTTTCCCAAGGAACCTGGCTTAATTTTCATTCCTTTTGTATTGGCACATACCATTCCCTGTTGGAAAAGACAGACAATCTGCCCAGGTATTTTTCACTGTTATTTCTGAGTCTCTTCCTATTGTTGTACTATGCCCATTGTTGAGCTAGTGTAAGATGTAAACTTTGCATTTGTGTGAGCCAAAACACTGAATTTCACTGAGAGTCTTGGACAAATAGTTCAAGATACTTTACAGCTTAAGTAGTCTTAGAAGCAGTATCATAACCAAGCCATAATTCTAAAACCCATAAACCCTCCTGTAGGCAATTGCCACATATTATAATGCCATCTTTCTTTTTAATCAAATATGTATGGCCCAGTTCCATATTTACGAAGAGGAATGAGATAGAATCTAAGGCCCCAAGTGACAGCTGAGCTTTACAAAAAACGTACAATTTCGGTTTGGCCGTAGCCTTCATAGATACTCAGTCCTGTTTGGCTTTTCCACTGTGCCATGACATCTGGGTTGAGTGGTTCACCTGCAGTCACACAGTGCTTCAGTGTCTTGAATGCATACCTTCATAAGCAGAGGACATTACTGAGTATCAGAGGGCAGAAAGGGACAAATGCTCTCCCTGGCAGTTGTTATGTCCAACCCAATGACTTCAGGACACACCGGACTCTCTTAGAGTAAGGGTTAGGGTTGAGTGAAAATCTAGAGCTCTAATTGGAGTGGGACTGGAAAGGAACTGCGTAAGCAGTGAAGTGCAAAGATGCACAGGAGTGACAGCAATGCAGCCACACCTGTGCCTTCAAGGGCTGAATACCAGCCTCTGTATTCACTATCCCTAATACCTCAGGGCAAAACTTGCTCTGCGTTGGAGGTGCCTGAGGGGTGGATTTCATCACCTCTCTCTGCAGTGCTAAAGAAAAGGCTCTGCCTCCAACAAATCTCCACCACTCTAAGAGTTTAAATGTCTATGAGGTCCTGTAGGAAACACTGTTAAGAGCCAGACAATAGCTTGCAGACACAGCAATGGCCACTTAACAGACGTGCAGTACCTGGTGAGGTCGTGCTGTACCAGCATGCGGTAGGCAGTTGGTGGGCTGCACAGAGTGGTCACTGGATATCTGCACAAGGTCTAACAAATAAAAAGAAGATTAAATAATACTGGTTTGGGAAAAAAAAAAAACCTGCTGCAAACTATTACTTTCTATTGTATACTACAGCACAAAATACCAGACATGATTGTATCACTTACACAGAAAGCAAAGTAATTGGTGTCACTTTCAGCATTCAGGAAAGATGTTACAGGGCTCAAACATCAGCTGCAGAGGTGATAACACTGACTGTGATAAGTCACTGGTGTACCTGATTCGTCCTGATGCCTACTTGAAGCACAAGGACTACCCCTTGGTATGAAAACCTGGCCCTGGAGGAGCAACCTAAGTTTTGCAGAGATCATTATACTGTAAAACCCACCTCTCACCCTAGGATGAAGTCAGACACCTCAGAATAGAGGCAACTAGCATTGCACGTTTCTT